ACGGGCTTCTCCAGAGCTTAATTAGTATGGGCAATTATTTTCTGCTGATGGAGCCTATTCATATGTGATTTTTTTAAGAACTTCCATTACTTAACCAGAGACACTATTACAGTCCTGTTGACATAAAATGTCAACCTCATTAGGGGCACTACGGAGCCAGACAACAGTTTTAGGTAACAACCGACCCATTTGGGCGAGAGCATGGCTAACTTTGTTCTGTTCCCGCTTAATTAACATGATCTTATGCGGACGGCTAGCTAGGAGCTGCCTAATATCCCCAACCATGGCTGCAACCGGGGACCTATTGGCTTCAGTATCCATGATCATGCGCATCGCTACTGAGCAGTCCGTCTCAACGATCAGCCCGTCCGGACTCCGCTCGAGGGCCAGGTCCACTCCCTCCATGAGAGCTGCGATCTCAGCCTCGAGGGCGCTTGTGCACCGCGGGATGAAGCGACAAGAAGAAAAAATTATGGAACCTGCGTAGTCTCGAAGGACCATGCCGGCACCTCCTGTGCCCTCCTCCTCTTTCCAAGACCCGTCCACATTCAACTTGACCCAACCAGGTGGAGGCTTGCTCCAACGCAACAGCGGCAGCATGCAAGTGTTTGATATTCCATACTGTAGGTTACTATTCCTCCGTCCTCCATAGGTGATGACTTTCTTCCCTTTTGCAACATCATCAGAGTGGTGTTGCTGAATGTACAACAATGTGTTGATGTAGCCGGATAAAAATCTAGTCGAGGCTTCAATTGGCGGGGCTGGTTTGTGATGATACACCTCATTCCGCACGTACCAGTTACGCCAAAGCGTCATGATCACAGGAAGCCTCTCCTCATCAGTACAACGGTCCAGCAGGTGGAGGATCCACTCCGGTCCGGTGTTGACGATGGTCTCTACCTTGGGCATGCTCCAGATTCGCGCCATCTCCGTCCAAAGATGCCTGGCCAGTGGGCATCTGCAGAGGGCATGGTATGTATCCTCGCATTCCAAGCCACATAAAGCACATGTGTTAGAAATCTCAAGTGTCCGTTTGCATTTATTTTCAAGTGTGGCCAAAGAATTCGTCGCAACCCTCCATGCAAAAACTCGTACCTTAGGGGGAGCAGGGCACCCCCACACTGCCTTCCAGACGGCACGAGTGCCGTCCGGTGCCCTGCTCATGGCGCACGCAGTGGTGCTGGTTTGCTCGTCTAGAGCGGTCTTGTACGCGCTCCGGACGCTGAAGATGCCACGTATGTCCGGAGCCCAGGAGAGGACGTCCGGTAGCCGTCGTGGGCTCGTTTTGATCGTCAAGATGTAGTCCACGTCAGGGACGATGAAGTGTTGCTGGAGGAGGTCCACCCGCCACCGGCCATTCTCATCAAGCAGCTCAGACACACGCCGGAGTCGGCAAGTCCCTCGCTGCGTGATAGGCCGGTAGGAGGTAGGCCGCGGGATCCACGGGTCACGCCATATGCGGATGTGCTCGCCATTGCCCACCCGCCAAAGGAGCCCACGTTTGAGTAGCTCATATGTGATTTATGCTGATGGAGTTCACATCACGTTGCCAGCAAACCAATTGTATGAATTTTCGCCGTGAGTATACCTAACAGGCTAACAACATGCATAACTGAAACAAACCGTCTGTATTTATCCGAATATGTGATTCTGACATAATCACTAGATCGGCCAGACTCCCAGACCTCAATCAGTGTTGCTGCTGATGCTGACTGCAAGATAGTCCAGATCTGTTTCAGGTTAACGCATTGCATTCTTCTGCCTTCCTTCCAAGCATATCGAAACTCGAAAAGATTCAGGCTCTGCAAAGTCGAGGTAACTGACTAGCCACCAGTGGTTGCTGCAGGGAAAATTCAGGGTCGGAGAAGCTTCCTTGGGCCGGCTTGGCTTGGCTTGGCTATGGGGAACTTGGGTCCACCGAAGGGCAGAATATTGGGCTTCTTTTGTGAGATGAGCATAATGCTGGTGGGAGGAGGCCCGACTATGTCTTGGTTGACGCGAGATAAGAGTCAGTTCTCGCCTGAAGGAAGGGAGCTCACGAATGGTCCGGTCCAACTAGGGCGCGAACCAGGCTCCTGGCAAAATTGGGCAGCCAGCACGCGGGAGGACACCGCCTTTTTTTCTTTCTATTTTCCATGTTTTTTGCTTTATTTTTTTGCCTTTTTTTTACTTTTGCTTATACTTCCAAATGCTCTAAATATATATATTAGAAACAATATTTTACATGCATTTTCTAAAAATATTAAGAGGCATTTAATAAATGTTAAATGTGTACATACAAAATATTTCTGATGTATACAAAAAATATACAATGTGTATGGAAAAAGTGGACATCAAAAGATATAAGTTTTCAAAATTGTTATCACGTATTTCAAAAAATGTTAAACGTGTATATAGTTTTTTTCCTTATGACAATAAAATATACAATGTGTATGGAAAAAGTGAACATCCTAAAATATATGTATAAACAAATATTAATCATGTATTTAGAAAATGTTAAACATGTATAAAAAATGTATCAGATGTATAATAGAAATACACGATGTTTACGAAGAAAAGTAGACATCAAAGATATAATCTAAAAACTGTTAATCATATATATGAAAAATGTTAAACCACAGCTCCAAAAAAATGTTAAACCAATACTAAAATTGGTTTTACTTGTATAAAAAAATGTACAATGTGTATATAAACAAAAGAAATTGAAACATCATTTGGAATTTTTTTAATCATCTACTCCCTCCATATCATATTAATTAGCGCTAAAATAAACGTATCTAGACGTATTTCAGTGTTATATACATCCATTTTAGTGTGTCTAAGATACATATATTTTAGCATCAATTCATATGAT